TTTCTATATAGTTATTCTTAACTACTGCAACCAGCTCAGATTCCTATTTAAATCAATAAAACGAGGCAGTGAAAACTGCTCTTATGCACAGGGGCTGCCAGAATCAACACAATAATCTAATCTGCAATGGGAAACATCAGTTTAGCACAGGTATGGTAGTTTTTAATAAATAATGAAAACAATCTAACAATCCAGACACACATTTAGCAGCAGAAACATACTGCATGTGTGTATACCTAACCTGAGGCAAAATCCTGCCATAGCTGTGTGTTGCATGCTGTGAGATTAACTTCTTAGAATGAAGACGCAGACTGCACCAGAGCATGGCATCATCCAATGACAAAAGAGCATTCAGAATGTAGTTACCGAAAAGCATTCAGAGAACCAGCGTAGCTTCTTGGCCCTGATGTTTAAGCTCAGTTTATCCAACTCCTGCTTGATGTCTCGGGACACTTTACCACAGAGCAGCGGGGGTGAGCCAGGAACCATGGCTGTGTCTGCGGAGACACACAACCAATACGCTTAGACGAGGTTTTGGAACACAACACCATAAAACAAAACAGATCGGTAGTCTGTTCTCACCTGTGTTTCCTATGATCTTTTCCCAGGGCTGGTCGGTAATGATGTTCAGCAGCAGTGGAGAGATGAGGGGTGTGAGAGACCACAGCCTAACAGTGCTGTCTCTGCTGCAGCTGGCCATAGTGAACGGACGGCTCTGATGACATGTTAAACCTACATATAGGGAAGAGGCGACATACTGATATTATCACAATAAAAAACACTCACACATACATTACACACATTTGTCGTGGTGAATTTCCATTATTGGGATAATCGTGAAACAGTATAATCTCCAGGAGTGACTTGAAAAAGCAGTCTAGCTTGCTAATGTAATGAGTCCTATATATATATATATATATTGATTTCCTGATTTAGTTTTAATTGCCACAAGGGGAGCTTGCATATTTCCATAAATTCCAAAATCCTAAGCCTGGCACCATGGCTGGAGGCGTGGCTTGCCCATTCTATCCCCTACAAAAAAACTTAAATAGGATGTTAAATACATGGAATAACAAAATAACGGATTGCAATGTACTGTGCTTTTCTAAAACCAATAAAAACTTTTGTTTACTGTAGATTACATGCAATTTTAGTCTACAGCACTTCATTTCATGTAACCGAGAGTTTTTATTGCCTTTTCAATGAATGACCTCGTTCATCACATGCTTTACGTCATATATGTGCAGTATTAATAGTCTAGTAGGCTGTTCTTGTCTTACCATACACATCGGCTCCGTGGTCATAGACTGTATCCAGACATGTGCCATCTCTTGTGTCCCAAACTCTGATTGTATAATCCCAAGAACCTACAAAATGATACATGAACATTTTATCATTTTAATACAGCACACTCTGGGAGTATAGTTGCATTACTATAAAATACAGTTAATTGTACATCATACACCTGCCCTGTATCTGATCTGTAATATATTACTGGCTCCATGCAAGTAGACCACTACACGAGTAAGGCTTGACACAGTTGTATGCCAGTTGCTCATCTGTCTGCTAAATGGTTGCAGAGATCTTAAAATCATGAAAGGAGCTTTGAACTCTGAACTGCAGAGATGATATATTTGTTGGATCGGTCAGTTACCTCTGTCATAGCTAACATTAGCGATATAAGCTAATTATTGTTATTGTTGATGTGAAATGTCAGCTGGCTACAGCATCACATTTTCTGGCAAACATTAAGACATGCTCTTGTTGTGACTAGTCTCTACATCCATTTTTCAGTTTAAACACATAAATGAAAGCTTTTACCACTAATTTCATGTCACTTGTCTTGTTGTGCTCACAGTATGGTGTGGACTGGTGTTGTAATGGTAAATAAATATAGAAAACAAAAAAACTTGTTTTAATATGAAGTTGCTGGTCTTCCCAGAATGACTATATGAGCTGCAAGTACCTGTGGATAAACCTATGTATAATTTTCTCAAGATTACAGAGTAGACGTATATGTTGTTGTAGTTTCCTACAGCTGCCACTAGATGTTACTAAAGAGCCTTATTTTACTGTCAGCACATTTAACATTATTGATTGAGTCATAATAGTCTTTGAATTTATTTATTTGATAGAGACAATGCAATTTAACACAGTTCCAATACAAAGCATGGACACAGAGGTCACACTCTCTGTACTGTGCAACTTTGCAGAAATGGTGACAGACATGTCACTGAAAAGTTAAAAAATATATAGTGACACAAAAGTATGCTGGTCACATGATTAAACTGTTAGAAAGCCAATGTTGAAACACAAATTGCCTTGGTACCTTGATATCTGTTGGCCTGTTTGAAGTACATTGGGCACATACAATGACAAGCAGGTACACAAGCAGCTCCACAGTGTGTAGACCATCATATTATGTTGATCACAAAACAGGGTTTCTGCATGTTTCAACAGGTTTTAAGACATTTTTAAGACAATTAACATTGCAATTTGTATTGGTTCCATGTTGGTTTGGTTTTGTAGTTGTTACAGCATGATCAATACATAATTTTCCCAGAAACACATTTAAGAGACTGAAAAATGCAAATTTTACAGGTAACGTTGACTTCAATAAACCAATAAATTTTTAAGACCAAGTCATATTACAGTTTTAGTGACCTTACCTGAAATGAGGAGGTAAGGAACCTCTGTGTTCCACATCAAGCCTCTGACTGGAGCTGTATGACCACTTAGCACATTGATGCACGCGTCCTGTGTGTAGTCCCATATACGAACAGTACTGCAGAGACAGACACACAGCAGGGATTTCTCTTTGAATTCATTTCAACTGATTAATTCAAGGCCTAATACTTTTTCTTTTCGTTTTCTTTACCATATAAACTCCAGGTATTCAGATGTGTGACTGCAGAGTTATAAAGGATAAATCATTCTTTTGTGTGTTTATCTGCAGATCATAACAAAAAATAAAGGTTATGCTAAACATTAATTATGTAAATAAACCTGTAACAGCATCTCAACTGATGTAATAAATTGAATATGGGGTTGGTAACTACATTTTTGTAATACACAATACATATCTATAGAATACATATCTATAGAATATCTGGACAAATGAAACATTTATTTACAATAACAATAGTAATAAAGAGGGACAAATAATATTTTGAACTGTTAAAAATGCAAAGTTTCTATGTTAACTCTACAAAACCTCTCTATAAAAAGTTTTTAGCAATGGGACTGCATCCTTATAGTTTTCATTCCATTTAGGGCTTTAAGAAGACACATACAATACATTTGTTTCATATTTGCCAATCACCTACCTACAGGCAATTAAAACACAATGCCTTTTTTTGTAATGCACACATTTGTTTTTGTACCTCATCATTATCTGCTGCAGTGATTCAGTTCAGTTAAATGTATTAGTATAGCGCAAAATCCAAGCAAAAGTCATGTCAGGATACTATAGAGCCGGTCTAGACTGTTCTCCATTAAATGTCTCATCTCATCCAAGAAAAACATCTTGAACAGTCTGTATTATTACCCCTAGCTCTGTGTCTGTACTCACCCATCATCTGATCCAGAACACAGTATCCCCTCTCTGAGTGGGGACCAGCGAACATGGAATACTTTGGCTAAGTGCCCAGTGAAGACCTTCAGAGGCTGATCGGAGCTGGTGGCCAGGTAGTACACGCGGACGTTTTTATCCTCACAGCCTGTTGCTATCATATCCCTACAGACAGAGAGGAAGAGGCGAGAGGATATGTGTAAAACTGTGGCCACATGTTAGCAACTACCAGATGGCACAAAACAGAGTTAATGTGTTTGAACATCACTACAGAGGGTAAGGGTTGGTACGGTCTGATTTTGCATTGACAGTAATTCAATGTTGTTCAATGTTCACTAAGGACCTAATGTGTTTGGATACCCCTCTGTCTCTGTATGTCCTTTCTATTCTCCTCTGACTTACACCAGTTTTTTTTGACTTACTTGCCAGTTTGTCTTTGTACCCTTGTGTCTAAAGTTCCAGCATTTTCCCTTGTGTTATTTGTTCACTCTGGTTTTTGGATTACTGCCTGTTTCCCTACTGGATTTGTTTGCTAGTGCTGACTGGACTTCTGTGTACCGAACCTTATTTTGACTGTTGCCAATGTTATCAAAACACTAGCAAACTTGTAAAAGCAACTAGCTAGCTATTTTCATCAATAGTTAGTTAGATGACATTTTGTTAACAGTAGCTAGCTGACGTAAGATCTGACTTTATATATATGTCGCTTTTATCATCAAAATGTGGTTGTCCTTTCAACATAGACAAGCCTAGCACATAGCATATCTTAGTACAGGAAAAGAGAAAGTAGACGGAGGCTAACTTGATTGTTATTGGAGCACAGAGCCAAAAGGGGCGGGACT